TCTCGAGATGCTCGGTTAAGTTACCATTGTGTTGCATCTTCGTGTCTAGAACACGGCTGAGGAGGGTGATCGTCGTGTTTGGTGATACACGATCGTAGAGGTCTTTAAGCGCCTTCCATGCGTGGTATGCATTTTCAGCGGAGACGGCTGTTGGTTGTATGTCTTCGGCTACAGCTCCGATGAGAAGCTGTGCATTTGTTTTCGGGCCTTTTTGATTTCGGCCTTGGTGAGGTCTGTGTCATCTTCTGTGGGGTTTTCGATGCTCAATGCTTCCCACCAGTCTGCTGCATCGAATGTAATCCTCCAGGCAGACGCCCAAGTTTGGTAGTTGGATTGTCTCTTTAATTTTGGGAGTCCATCAAACTTGATGCGAATGTTACTGGTGCTCGTGTTGTCTGAGGACTTAACCTCCACGGCCTTGCATGATTCACCAGCGTCAGACATGATGTTGTATTGTAACGGGGGCAGCCTATCTATGTATCGCTAGAATCCAATAGAATAGATGCGGCCGTGCAAGATAGAAATCAGGTGCAGATTTATTCAAAGATACTATCGCTAGAACTCAATAATCTTTAAGGGCTCTGCTACCGATAATAGTCTACCCGAAGATGAGGATCAGGTCCGTTGGGCGGGAATGATCCTGAGTACTTATACTCCAAAGGATTCTATTCTCTGCTCCTACTTCCTTACTAAGTTCCGGTGCTGCCTCCTAGTGGAAGGGAAGCAATACCATCGCTACCCCGCTTCTCTCTAAGCGTCAGCGAGTGCTTCCGATTCCGAAGGCAACCACCCTTAGTCAAAGCCTTTGTAACACCCGCAGCCTTTGTTGCCACACAACTAGGGGCCTGCATGAATGAGCTGCCGCTCAGGTGTAAGCTTAATCATTGCTGTAGAGCTTCCGCTTATTGTAGACTTCCCAGGCATAGTCTCTTCCACTGGCGGACTTCCAATGCTCAGAGGATTTGGAGGATCGCTGAGCACTCAGAGCTTCACTCTGGCTAGCCTTCTAATCATTGGCGAGGCACAGACTCGTCAGTCATTGCTCCCATGAGTAGATCCTCTTCCTAGCGCTCAGAATGTAGTTACTCTGACAGTTGGTAGCTAACCACACTGCCGGTACTTGCATGTCACTGTGCAACTGGCTTCTAACAATAACTCTCAGCATGTAACCGGGCCCCGTGTGTACTCATACACCAGACAGTTGAAATGGCTCCGTTACACTACTCCCCTCTTCCAGGATCTTGGTCTCCGAGATCTATAATCTGTATCTATTTATCTATGCAATACTATATGACAAGGAAACTCCTTTGGTGTGGAAAGGGACGAGAATGTTAAAGGAAATGCTACTGGCCTAGAGCCCTCTTATCTCTGGGCTTCTTAGGGTACCTCATATGGAAATCCCGGAGGGCTTCTTCAGCACTCTTCCTGAGATGTTCCCAGGGTTCCCATGTAGCGTCCTCATTCTCATATCCTTCCCACAGCACCAGGTATTCCACCCTTCTCCTCTTCTTATTGACTCGGCTATCAGCTACTTCCCGGACGATCCAGTTTTGTTCTCCTGTAATCTCCTCAGGTTCCGGTGGGGGAACTCTTCTCTCAGGATCTATTGGTGCTCTATAGGGTTCTAGGAGAGAGACATGGAAGACAGGGTGGATTCCCATTTGCGGGGGAAGAGAGAGCTTGTAGGCACGGGTACCAATAGCTTCTAAGACCTTGAAGGGTCCCATCTTCTTCTGATCCAATTTTCCCAATGGCCGCTTTGTTTGCACATTGCGCCGGTCTAACATAACTTCGTCTCCAGGCTTGATTTCAGGGGTGCCAGGGCATGTGCATCATACCACCGGGCCATCCTTAGTCTAGCCTTTCCCAAGCTTGCGTTCATAGCCTGCCAGATAGATTCCCATTGAGATACCATGACCTCGCTTGCTGGATTATTCCATTCAACACCTTCTTTTGGGGCCGGCCAATTGGTTCTGGGTTCATATCCATAGTTGGCATAGAAAGCCGATACTTTGGTAGACTCAGAAACCGCCGAGTTATATGCATACTCTGCCAAAGGCAAGAGGTCTGCCCAGTCATCCTGTTGATATGAACAATAACTCCGCAAGTAATGCTCCAGGGTCTGGTTAACTCTTTCTGTTTGGCCGTCCGTTTGGGGATGGAAAGAAGTGGACATCTTCAGCTTCACATTGAGGAGGCTCATGAGAGATTGCCAAAAATGAGAAATGAACCTGCTATCTCTGTCCGAGACTATGTCATCAGGTAACCCATGGAGTCTCCAGACTTCCTTCAAGAACAACTTAGCCAAATCTTCCGTTTTGTTGAGTGTAGGAAGTGGGATGTAATGTGCCATCTTTGAGAAGCGGTCCACTATTACCCAGATCTTTGTAAACCCATTGGATTCCGGTAATCCCACAATAAAGTCCATAGAGATGGAAGTCCATGGCCGATAAGGTATCTCCAGTGGTTGGAGCATACCGAACTTCTTATGTCTTGAGGTCTTATTCCTCTGGCAGCTGTCGCAGCTCCGGACATATTCCTCAACATCTTTATCCATGTTGGGCCAAAAGAAGTTGTTTTTTACCCGCTCTAATGTCTTGAACTGACCGAAATGGCCCGCCACTTTAGAGTCATGGGTATCGGTCAGGATATCCATCTGGAGCTTCTTGTCTTTGGGAATATACCATCGATTCTTGTAGAAGATGAGGCCGTCCTTGACAGACAAGTTCTGGTCCAAGTTTGGTTTCCTTTCAACCAGGGAGCGGTGCAGTTCCTGCCAGATTCCATCCTCTTTAGCTGCCATACATAGGCGCTCTAAGAATGTGTTCTGCAATTGATTCACCCTGACAGCCGCTAGCTTAACAGGATCCAAAACCAATTGACCTGGCCTAAAAAACATCTGTGGCTCCGGCCGCAAGGTTTCACTCCCCTCTTCAGGGCGGTGATCCCAACGCCTTGATAGCACATCAGGTTTGCCATTCCTTTCTCCCGGTCTGTAGACAACTTTGAAATTGTAGCCTGCTAGGTCCTCAGACCATCTAGCTTGCCGCCTAGTGAGAACCTTGGTAGAGTTGAAGTACTCTAAATTCTTGTGGTCTGTGAAAACCGTGATCTCCTGCTCGCAACTCTTGAGCATATGCTCCCATTCCCGGAAAGATGCTACAATAGCTCCCATTTCCTTATCATGAATGTCATAGTTGATCTCAGCCGGGGAGAACTTCTTAGAATAGAAAGCTACCGGGTGTAGTTTCCCATCTTCCCCATACTGAGAGAGCACCGCTCCTTTGGCAAAGTCACTGGCATCAGTTTCGACCACAGTTCTTCTGCTAGGGTCAAAATGGAGAAGGATTGGAGCGCTTGTGAATAGCCTCTTGAGTTCCTCAAATGCTTGTTCACAGGCTGCGGTCCAATACCATTTCTTGTCATTTTGCAAGAGGTCGGTCAATGGTTTGCAAACTTTACTGAAGCCTTCAATAAAGCGGCGATAGAAGTTTGCAAATCCCAGGAAACCTTGCACTCCCTTAATATTTCGGGGTACTGGCCATTCCTGAACCGCCTCTACCTTGTCCTCTGACATAGATACTCCCCTTTCCGAGATGTGGTAGCCAAGATATTCTACTTCTCGGACATGGAAGGATGTCTTGCTGATGGAGGCACACAGTTTTGCTTCTCTGAGTAGATGAGGATGTCGTCGATATAGACAACCACTCCTTCATCCAGTAGTTCCTTTAGCACATCATTGATCATTGCCTGGAAGGCGGAAGGGGCGTTGCATAGACCGAATGGCATCACATTGTACTGATACAGTCCATAGCGGGTTCTGAAAGCGGTTTTCCACTCATGACCTTCTGCTATCCTGATCAAGTTGAAGCCATTCTTCAGGTCTATCTTTGTGAAGATCTTGGCTTTGAACAACCTATCCCTGAGCTCACTCATGATAGGCAGCGGATACTTGTCCTTGACAGTGACCTTGTTCAACCCTCTGTAATCAACACAAATTCGCCATGTCCCATCCTTCTTAGGTATGAACAATATGGGCGCCGCTGCTGGGCTGCTAGATCTAGAGATCTTTCCTAAAGACAACTCTTTGTCCAGGTACTCTCGGAGGGCTTTCAGCTCTGGAGCGGAACATGGGTATAGTGGGCCAAATGGGGGAGCGGTACCAGGCAAGAGGTTGATCTTCAGATCATTTCGGGAGTGTGGAGGCAGCTCCTGTATCTTCTCTTGACTGAATACGTCGGCCCATTCCCTATAGCGGAGAGGTATCCTTTCAGAGATATCTCCTCCATCCTCATCATGCCATACTGAAGCGGCCAGTTGATATACTACATCTTCTTCTTCCATCAGTTGGTATGAAGAGATGAGTTCAAACTTGATCGCTGCTGGGAGACAGTTCTGCTTGCAGTAGTCACTTCGCCAGCTTATGGTATTGAGTTCCCAATTGATATCCGGGTTGTGCTTCCTTGCCCATGCAATTGGCAGGTAACCTGATATTCCTTCTTCCAAAGTAGCCACTTCCCATCGGAGTGTCTCCTTATGATCTCCCATGTTCATGTGGACTGGGTGAGTGTAATACTCTCCTCCGCCCATCATGACATCTCCTTGAGCATCATACATTGTCAGAGGTTGATCTCGCCGCACTAAGGGAACTCCATGCTTCCTGACAAAACTCTGGTTGAGGATTGCTCCTGTACAACCGGTGTCAAAGAGGAATGTCCCTTGGGCGTCTTCAACTTTGTTCTTGACCGTCCATGACAGTTCTGCTTTCAGTATTGGCCTCTTGCCATGTACTGGTAAGGATGGAAGCTTCTGTTCCATTCTTCTTCGCTTCTGTGCGGGTTCTGGGCTTGATTCTCTTTGTCTTTTCTCCATTGCTAATAGCTGCGGGCACTACTAAGATCAAAAGATCCTTTGGTTCTATTCCCAAGCAATAATATAGCAAGTGTATTGTGTGGAAGTCTGGTAGCGGGCTGGAAGTGTCTTGTAGCAAATGTAACTTTGGCAGAGCACTTACAGACCAGCTGTTTCGGGTCATAAACCCATCCTCAGAGTGCTTGGAAACAATCAAATAGGCGAAAAACACAAAAATTTATTCAAGAGAAACAAAGAAATCGAGACCCAAAAGAAAACTAGTAAACATAGACTCTAAACAGACATTTCTACCAGATGATTTCATTGTCCGAGTCTTGCTCAGGCTGAAAGACGAAATCTTCTGTCACCTCTGGGAGTACAACAAGTGGTTCCTCTGCTACAACCGCAGCCACTTTAGCTTTCTTCTGAGGATTGGTCTTGCCATTTCCTCGTTTCCGCTTTTGTACCCTCACTGCTGCCACTCGGACTACAGTAGGTTCCCTGGACCAACAGTCGGTCCATTTGTGTCTGGACTTGCCGCACTATTGCACAAGTCAGTCTATGTACTCTACCAATAGGGAGTACCGGAAGGT